AATGAATCTGCGCTTCGTAAATCTGTAGTACATGAATACAAACTGATTGATACTAAGAGGCTTGCACAACTATCAAAACAGATTCGTGGATTAATAAACGTCTTAGAGCATACTGTCATGCTCTGTGCGGTCATTACTGGTTCAGTTTCTCTTGTGAACAATAGCTGACCATATCCGTGGTGAGTTGACGACGCTTCATCCGCTTTGCTGATAATGAACGGCGTACAATTGATTCTCGTGCTGCCAAATGACTTTTAATCAAACTATCAAGTGACACGGTGAATTGCTCTTGTAGGGACTTTTCTATCCAAGTCTTACGCTCGTAGGTTCAACCAGCTGTGGAGCCATCTCACGTTAACATGCGAGATGTGCCCCGCGTATTCTCTGATGCTCACCCTAAAATTCCAATTCCTTATTCCCAAGTCACGTACAGAACAAATGCGTCGTCAAAAGTCTATGGGATATCCTATTGATGAAGGTGCATAAACATATTTATTCTTGATGGTCCTTGTTAGCCAGCGTACACGATTGTGGAAAGTAACAAATAATCCGAGAATCAAGCCCTTTTCTGGACAATAAACTGTCTTTTGAGGAACGATTTTCGCCTTTTTGATGGAGTAATCTCTGTTAGGTTTATCTTTAGGGTAAAAATTTACATCAGTATATGAATTTTTACAGTTGTATGTTGTATTTTCACCTAATGTTCCAACAATGAGTAGTGCATAACACCCATTCCGGTCTAATTTTTTTCGGAGGGGAAATGTATCCTCCGTATACATCGAAAGGTATCCTTTCAAATTGACTTTGACGAAACTGGATTAAGTAGAGAAGAAGATTCACTACTCAAGGGGCCTTATTTAAGGCTATGTATTCTGGACACAGCTATGCTTCACAGATTTTCTGAATTCTTAATTAGTGAATAAGAAACCCCTTTAGGAGACAGATACAGTTCAAAATCCGTTGAAAGGGATCAACTAATCCTCAGTGTGATGATTGCTTGCATGAATTGTCCCCATACCCCAGCTGATTCTGAGTAACCTTTGACGATAAACACTAGAATTATTTCACCAATAGCAATCCAGAAATCAGCAATAAGGTTCCAAGGATATGACTTTTCTCAAGATGATTTTTATGAGCGATGTCTTCTTGAGATTCCTGTTGAAAGTTTCCTCCTCAGATACTCCACGTTACCAAATATCACCCCTAGCAACTACTATCATCCATCACCAATTTGTGTCAACATGGATTGATAATTACACCTTGCGGTTAATTTAGAGTTATGTTACACATCTCTGTTTATTCAACCCCGATTTCGACGATATGGTGGCAACTTTGATTTGGACTGTTGTCACTCTTATGGAACTTAAATTCCAAAGTTTATTCAAGCCGGAAGAATGAGAGCAGTTCCATCGAATGATCCAAATGTCTCATAGATAATTAATAATACAGGCGTGTGAATTACTTAGCGTATAACAACATCAGACGGTTAGTCTGTAGCACTTAGAAACTGCTATTTTCCATCTTCAGTATCAGCTTTTGTCTCCGTGTCACTACCGGTCACGTTACTGCACAAAAGTTTGTCTTAACGGAATACAGAACAAGCCCCAACTTCTTGAGCTCAACGGGGGGACTTCACGCGTTTTGTTAAGCGACTGTTGTTGTGACTGATTGTCAAATAACGTTGGCTGGCTCTTATTTCCATCGTGAAAAAAGTTTATCTGCAAACTTTTAACTTATCCATTCGCAACAGTGGATTAGCAATACGATTATTGGAGATATGGAAAAGTAGGACCTCCTCTTTTTGGTGTGGTGATTCAACGGAATAGAAACCTTCGGAATTTCCTCTTGTGAACTGTGATTCAAGATTTCTTTGGACAGTTCGCCTTGTGACAGTATATCTGAGTTGCGTTGATAGTTTGTTCTGCTAATTGAGGATTCCTTACGGCCTTCTAACCAATGCTAATTCAGATGAGCACTTCTACCATAGCGCCGTTAGTTTCCCCAAATGTGAGCCCACGTAATATTGGACTTAGATATAGTAGATCTTGCTAATCGTCCCCGGCAATTTGCGTGTTGTTTAGCCATGTGGTTTTGGCTTCATGTGGATGGGTGGACAGGTAGATCGCACTCCTCCGTGGGTTGAAAATGTATTGTGTGACGTCACGAAGATTGCGCATAAGCTGGAATCGTGAAACTGGTAAATGCTTCCATGCCACATGACCTAACACAATTGCTTATGTGTTTTCACCATTGCGTTGTAATGTTCTGTTTTGCCTGTGCTTTAGCGAAATGACACGGACTAAATAATAACCCTTTGAAAATCACCATGTTTCGCTAAAGCCACGTTACCCGCCCCGGGAAACGTCTACTCAAAATGCCTCTCCATAGAGCAGTTTTCGTAATGTGGTCAAGTGCTTCTGTAAAGCGCTGGATTCTGTTCTGAGCCTATCCCCTCTACAGCGGTAAATTCGCCAGTGGTTCCAACTCTTTTCCACTATACATTAGACATGTTGCTAGGTTGGATGGTACTTAGACAAACTCGTTATTTTATTACTGACCGTTTTGCTGCTCACAATGGACAAGTGATCCGTACAGATTACTGTCATCCATCTTCCGCCAAAAACACAAAATGAACGATAGAATAAATCAATTCCATTCGTGAGAATAGCTCAAACCGAAAGATGCCCTTTTTCTTGTATCACAAAAACAAATTGGGAACGTTGGAATTTGCTCAAAAATCTACCTCGTGGAACCAACTTAAGCCTGAACCCGCACACTGCATTGTTCCGTTTTAGAAAATTGCAGTGTTGAAATAACTCGCAATACGTTGAATTGTTTTTTCCTGGAGGAACAAAAGTCAACGGAATTCATCTGGCTTGAAAACTATCGCTCGAATGTGGCGAATGCTGATTTAATTTCGAGTAGCGACTATAGTATGATGCTTTATAAAAGTGTTCACTCCATTTTGTCAAAAGCTTCTCTCATGAGAATCGGTCTTTAAGGCTGCGCACAGCCATTTTTTCTTATATTGGTGGGCGTATTGCACATCCCAAAGTGAAGCACCGAAAAACTAATTGACGGGTCCTTCCTCCTGTTTTATTTTATCACGGAACATAGCTGAAACTCCAAGACTCAAACTTTGTAGAAACCGGATAACTCTCCGAGTAACAAATGAAACCGTTTTAACCATTAAGAAGAAAATGAACATAAATCCGTTACTTGAAAGTCTATTAGCTGGGGGTCAAACTTAACTCTAGTAAAAACAAGACAACAAATATCGATAGTCCCGTAATTCATCTGGCTTGAAAACTATCGCTCGAATGTGGCGAATGCTGATTTAATTTCGAGTAGCGACTATAGTATGATGCTTTATAAAAGTGTTCACTCCATTTTGTCAAAAGCTTCTCTCATGAGAATCGGTCTTTAAGGCTGCGCACAGCCATTTTTTCTTATATTGGTGGGCGTATTGCACATCCCAAAGTGAAGCACCGAAAAACTAATTGACGGGTCCTTCCTCCTGTTTTATTTTATCACGGAACATAGCTGAAACTCCAAGACTCAAACTTTGTAGAAACCGGATAACTCTCCGAGTAACAAATGAAACCGTTTTAACCATTAAGAAGAAAATGAACATAAATCCGTTACTTGAAAGTCTATTAGCTGGGGGTCAAACTTAACTCTAGTAAAAACAAGACAACAAATATCGATAGTCCCGTAAATATCACTTATTTAAAGGTTATTCGGCTCTAGAAGTGATCCAATCGTGTGGTTTTTATTACTGCTGCAACAGCTGAGTGAAGTAGAACTAACTTAACTCGACTTTATTACGACTGATACCATAAGTCTATAACACCAGAGGATAAAACTACATCTGAAGAGCCAAAGCGTTGATCGTAATGTAGAGAAAGCTCTCCACCGCAAAGAGGTAGCCTAAAAGATGAGTAATGTGGAGGTTATGAAATGAGATGGCGTTCTCGTGGACTCAAGTGCATTAGAGCAATTCGTTTGGGGCCATAAATATTGCTCAAATCATTATACAAGTGGTAAGGGCATATTTCCGAAAGCCCACTGGCCAGATTTTTAGAAGGATTAGCATCAGCCTCGTAGACAATATCACCCAAAATGTACTGAAATTTTTAGAAATTTTTTACGACATAAATTTCCTGATCTTAGTTATACCGTGAGCTCAGCACCAGATATACTATACCTGGAATCACGCTTCCTCAATCAAGTGAGAAAATATCAACTCAAGGCGAAAAGTTGTTCACATAAATCTGGGTTCAGCAATGTGAATACGCTACAAATCTATCACTTCAAGATGGAGAACTGGTGGTGAAACACATGCAGTTGTTTATCAGCCTTGAGAAATGTCGAAATCTCTACTCACAAACAAGTAATAGATGTGAATATTGCCATCAGCGTAAAGCCTAGGCAGTAGCCAGTGAAATACGAGATGAATCACAAAGTTCCTTCCCATAGAAGAAACCTTTCGGCAAACCTTATTCACTCGGTGCATTTTGGGTGCAGCGTATAATTCGGTACATGTATGCTATGGAGTGCAGCTCCAACTTTTTCAAATGACCATTACATTTTTGCCTCTTGAAATTGGCAATGTAGGGTGACTAGTTTAAAAGTGTTAGCCAGCAACCGAGAACAAGAAATGCGGTGCAAAAGATGCACGTAACTTGCACAGAATTAAAAATGTTACCGGTTGACGGTTTCGCCCCATTTGGCGCTCAACTGAATGTGCTGGGTTGGTGTTTTACTGTAACATGAAACGCTGACCGGGTTTTCAGCGAAGGAAAGTTTTATCAGATCTTTCTGGTAAAAGAAATAAGTGCCAACCAATCTGTGGACCTGATTAATCAGACTGAGCTGCGTATTTCTACTTAGTCTTATACTTTAGTACAGAGATCGTAATGCGTAAACATTAAAACCATTTGGTTGTTTTTGAGTTCTACTGTTAGAGCACACTCAAATTACTGGAAACAATTACTTACGTCTCCACAGAATAATTGACTTCAGCATTGATTATTGGAGAAACTACAGTTTGCCTCGAGGTGCTTTGCTTTTCATCCAAAGAAACCATTGCTTATCCACACACAAAATGCTGCGATTACGAGTCCTGTCTCGAAACACACGTGTTTTCAAAATACCTCTATAGTTAGTAAAACGTGGTGACAAGTCATACTGTTTGACCCATCCGCGTAAGTGAATGATAACCGAATGTGACAGTGCGTTAATTTCGGACTTTCACCCATGATTCTAATAATCACTCATGAAGGCATAAGTCCAAGGTAAGTTGTTTTAGTGGATTAAATCACACCCGCGAATTATGTTGTATGACCTTGAAATGTAGCAAGCTCGTGGTGGCAGGCTTCCGCATGTAGCGGTATTCTGATTGGTGCTGTTGTACTCCGACGGAGTCTGCAAGTAAATCAGAGTGCTCATTCAGCTCAAGCAAATATTTTAGGCAACTGAACTTTGTCATTTTCAAATCCATTATGTCTGTTTCTTTGGTGAGCAGGCGAGAGAAATCCTGAGGGAGTTGATCATCCGACATTGCTTTATGTTCCGACCTCCAGGATTCTCATCTGAGCCGATGTATGCCGGATGTAGTACACAATTTTGTATTTTACACGCGACGAATCTTCTAACAAACAAGAATACGGAGAAAAATATGAACAAATAAAGCTATTTGCAGCTCCGATGGTGCCAATCCGAGGTTAAGAAGAGACGATGCGTTACGGCACTTTTGGTGATACCCTAAGTCTTCCTCGCTTAAACTTGCAAACAGAACATGGTAAGTGTTGGTCACACCTTCGTGTTTGTTTCCATACTTCAACCGCAGCGCATCGTGGTGCCTTTTCTCTCAATCCCTCGGCGTCAGAAAGCTGAAAAACGGAACACAGGAACGTTGAGCTTTGAGTCCAGAACCTGACCCAGAGGTGTGCTAGGATCGCAGCCTTGCACACGTCGAAACACAGCATTCAAGGCGATAAAAAATTGCACACAGTGTATCGCATTAAGCCTTGATCAAGTAAAACCAAGCAGAAGCTGAAATTAGAAATCTATGGAGCATTCTGGAATTATCCCGACTTCTGTGTCTGCAGAACATTTATTAAAAGGCCACCGTGGTGCGCACGAAGATCAGTGTAACTCTCAAGCGCAAGCACACTCGTAACTACTAGAACAAAATTTAAGTTGCTCTTGCACTTACCACTAAATTCGGACAGAGACCGTACAATGCATGGATGAAGTTTCTAACTGAATTACTGCAGATGATGATATTTAGTGAACGGTTCTTTCTAATCTTTTTCCTGCCACTGGATTCATTGTTTCAGTCTTCTTGCCTTCCTTTCTGTATCCTTAACCACAAGAACATATAGCTCTCAGGCTTCTTTTGCTCTATTCAGTCCTCTATAAATTATTCTCCTGTTTTAATATCCTAAGTGCTGTATACAAAAATCAATTAGAATGCAGGCACGCTAGTGGTTACTGGTCCTAAATTCTGAATTTCCAGTTCGTCTGGTTATACCGATATATGTGCTGCACTCGCTTACTACATTTTAGCGTCGCCGCGAAAGTTTGTTCATTACGTCGGGGGTTTTACCGTGCCTCCAGGATGGAGTTATCATTCCACCGACTCAATGATCGTCTGTTCTTGCGGATTTGCACTCTGGTCATCTGGGTGTTGACAAAGTGGAATCTTTTGCACTCCTGTCATACTGGTAGACAGGAATAGTTGCTGACATCAAGTATACCGCAAAACATTGTGTTTACTGTGCTCCTGAGATTCACAGCAAATCTTTACAGCGGTATTCGTGGCCAGTTTTTGTCGAACATTTCAACATTTTATGCCGACGACCGCGGCTTTTTTCTCGGTAAATGATATGATTTAATTGTTATTGAAGCATATTAACGTTGGCCCGAATTTTTTCTAACTACTCTCTAAATGTCTTATTCACGCAAAAACTATTGAGGGAAGTATCCGGCCATGAATTTGTACCAAATGTTTAGGCCACTGACTGTGGCACGCACTTCACTGCAAAGTCCCTCGGGGCCCGTTCCACGATATCTCCAGTCGGATGGGCTTGCTGAGAATTTATTTCTGAACACTGAAATCTGCTGTTGCATCATTCTCTCCTATTTCTTTTGTGGGATAAGACCATGGATTTGATAATTTTCTGATGCAATAGAGGAATGCCGATCATTCATTTACTGGGAAAGACCTGCTTATAAGTCTTGACTGTACCAAAATGGTTGATAATACGTTTTTTCAAAGGTTACGATATATGGTCTGTTACAGAAATAATGCTTTCATCAAATGTTACGTGTATGGTCACAGTCCTCCATTTGGATAGTCTCGCTTATCACCGGGAGCACACTGACAAGACTGAGGTCAATACCAGAGGTCAGTCTGTTAATGGTACTCCTGTTGTTTCAAATGTTGGTGTCCTTTGAGGATGATATCACAGTTCCCGACAAAAATGTTATCTCTGAAGAACATGCTACCTGCAAGGAACCTGAAGTTTCCAATCCGAGAAGATCCAAAGAATAATTATCAACGCTCTTACTGAGCTATGAACGTCCACACGCTCCTTCAAGGTGTGGCGGATTTGATAAACTGATGTCCTATTCATTCCTCTAGTCATCATTCTTTTGTTCTATTATTTGAAGTGCTGCGCACATAAATCAACTTGAATACATACGTGCTAGTCGTTACGCCGTGCTTAATTATGAATTTTTAGTTCGTTTGGTTATAGTGAGTGGCTTGAAAAGCTTGTTGAGAAGTTAAGGGTTGCATCCTTTTCATATTTCACGGCGTATTAGAAAGAGTTAAATGAGTACTTGGAGGATAACTGTGTGGTATTTAAGGGCTCATCTATAATCGAAGCACCAACACGTTCACGCATTACCAATGGGTGCCCTACAAATGCAGTGGGCGGTCTGAGGGACAAGCAGAAAGTCGAGGAATCCGAAGAGGCTAGTAAGCCTGGAGTAGTTTTGAATAGAAAACGGCACATGGAGCGCCGGCTTTGTAGTGCGTTTTTGTTGTAAATGTTGACAGTGGCGAGATGGCTCGAGTGGTCAGAGCCCGAGTTTACTAAATGCAAGGTCCCGACCTTTGCCTCTAGTCTTTCCTTGTCTAGGCTTGGGAACTCTGGTAGTATTCCTGCCTTCGTTTTTCCTTCTAGCGGCATAACATCTAGCTCCCGGAAAGGTTTGACAGCCTTACGCTTTTCGATTTCTTTCCAAACGTTGACAAAACTGGCGCTACAAACCGCTTTCAGTGAACTTTTAAGGCCACCACTATTTGGCCTGCAGATACAGGCCGTATGCCTTCCTGATCACGGATAGCATTGGTACTGGGCGTCCGATTATATATGGCTTTGTGGAATTTGAACAGTTTGCCCTCGTGCGTCAACCTTTCAGCTCATTCAGGGAAATGATGGCAGTGCAGGATCAAGTGAAGACCTTGATCAGGAATGAGCCGGTCGCACTAATGCGGCGTGCAAGAGTAGTGCTAGGCTGCGACGATGTGTTGTGCCAATCCCATATTAGAAAAGCTGTCGGGAACCACGTATGTATCATATAACATCCATCGTAACGGAAACATCCTGCGAAAAGCAGGCATAAATTCCACCGCGTAGTTCGCTTGGACAATGCCGTACTGTAGACTTTTTGTTCATCACAATACGAGCACACCAATTTCGAAAGATCTGCAAATACAGCGTCATATAGATCCATGATTCGTTCTTTAGATTACGGCCCACTTTTCCTAAATCACCCGTAGATGGACTGTGCGCCCAATACGGAGTGGTCTTATTTGGGATTATGGTCATCAACCGCCTGGAGAATGCAAACAGTCGCCATAAAAATGAGGTGTACTACTCAGACTTACGGAAGCGAGTCACGCAGGCGCCCTGGGAAGCCTGCGGGAATTCGATGCATATCTCATATCACTGCAACCAGTAGGTAATCCCGGAGGGCGACAGCTACGTACTAAACATTGTTCGCCAAATACTTACGTGTGCATATTTCCCCGTTTTACGACACTTGTGTCCGCGACGCCCAAGGATGCACTATTATTGTGTGGGAACAACCAGGATGAAGTCAACCTAGGTTAACCAAATTGATTTGATGTTGCAAACATCCACATAACTGTGCCGGAGAATGTACAAGCCTTTTCTACCGGGCGGTGTAGCTCACCTACATTTGCTTTTCTCTGTATTTAGCGATCACTAGGTTCCAAGAGGAACAATCTTCATATATTTTCCTTAGTTATTACCAATCCACCAACAGCGGTCGCCGGATTACCTCCTACCTGAACTAGGTTTCTTCATTACAACTGGTTCAAACCCACGGCCGGCAGCTCTAGGTGGCTCGCATAAACAACTGAACGGAGTCCTCTATAAGCTTCAGAGGCTTTAAACCAGGAAGGTCACAGCTGTCAACAAGTTGCCGATTTATCATGGGCAAATCTTGCTGCGCCAAGGCAAAACGTTTGCAACTGGCGCTCTGTCGTCCGTGATCGAGGATACCGCACCTCAACCCCGATGGAAGTCTAGGGACACAGACCTGGACGGCCTATTGGTAGCGGTGACCGCTAGTGTGCAACGAATCGCTTATCATATCACGTTGACTGTTGTGATGATGGAACTAGCCTGCTGTGCGGTGAGGCACTTGATGTTGGTTCCGAAAGTGAGTTCACAGATGTTTAATTTAATTTTGCATGTTAGTAACGGCCGTCCAGAAAACGACAAGGTGTGCCTGTTAGCCGATCCGCAAAGGAAAATGCTTGCGATGCTGACCTCGACCGGAAGTCCGTGCGTGTCCCTATTTTTCGCTCAAAAGAGAGCTACTCGACTAATGCTGTAGAACACCGGCTAGAGGAATGAGACGGAGATGATTGAGTGTGACTCACGCACTACTACTACACGCCTACCAAATATAACACTCAAGAAACACGACGCACACAAAAAACATGAGATCACATAAACAGGCACAATCTGGAACTGATGGACTGTGTATTTTCTTCGGCACAGTGTTCTGGATGCAATTTTGGGGTTTTGCGGGATAGGTATGTTTGTTAATAGCCACATCACTCTCGTTTGAACGGACGTGTTCCTGTTCTGGCGTACTTATTCCGGTGATTCCACACCAAAGGGCAGTACTGAACTCGAGTTTTGCTCTCATTAGAGCTCATCGTCAGTGCATATCCAATGGATGTGCCGGGATTTGAACCCCGGACATCTGAGATGCGAGGCGAGTGTGTAACCGCTAATCTAGCCACAATGTTCTGGATGTGACCGCGCATGACGGATATTTATCATCTGAAGGGACTGGGCAGGTAAAACGATCATCGAATGTAACCATTCTCAGTCAGTTGCTTCGTGCTGGAGAAGGTGTCCACCCGCCATCTAGACACGTTTGTGATGTTTTTGGCCCGGCGATAATTGTGCCAATATTATAGCGCCTTAATAGTGGTCTGGCTACACAAAAGGCTAGTTATCAGGAGTGGCAAAGAAACGAAAAATAACAACGCTTGTTTGAGTATAC